GTGTATTTCTTCTCACACATGAAGGCTGGTAAATGGCAAATTTGCAAAGATGGCCACGTCCCTCTTTGTGCCACAGATCTTCGCAAAGGGAGGAAAGTACCTAAGGTATAACCAAGATGTTATGGGAGAAATAAGCAAGGAGAGCATCGTGCCTGCCATTCCTGGCACTTGAAACATCCTGAAACTCCCTGCCACCCTGTGTAGACCAGAGACTCTTAGATTTTCAAGAATAATCACACACTTAGAGCAAAACAAAGAACAAGGGAAACAACAACATCTTATCTTCTCTCTCCCACCAGGACATATTTTTCAAATGACAGTTTTTCTCTCATTATTAAAAATACTGTTTATTTGAAAACAAAGCAATCATGGAACTCTATTATTCCACTCTTCACTATGACAGCAGCCACTGTGGGTATTTGGACACATATTCTTCCAGTACTGCTTTCCACGCACATAAATTGCATGGAAGCAAATTTGAATGGAATATCACTAAACTGCTCTGGGAATCAAGGAAGTACAAGTATGGCACTGAATAAGTGAGGTCTGCACTTTGCAGGCAGTGGGAGCCCACTCAGGACACAAATCTCCTTCCATGTTGCAAACTGTTTGTGAGGAAACCCAACTGCTTGGGACCAGTGTGACAGCAATCAGTCCCAAGCTCCTCTCTCCCGGTGAAGCCTGGGACAGTATGACTGCGTCAACTCACAGAACCCAGAGCCACATTTCTCCAGTCCCTCTTGTGTTAACTTTGCTTAGGTGTGATCTAGCCAAATTTTGAACTGCTTCTATTTAGAACGAAGCATTAAAATATCTCAACCCAATAGCTACTGACATAATAATGTGTATAACATTTTCCCATTCAGTACTGTCTTATATCATTTCTTACTGTTTTTCACTTAGTACTGCCTCAGAAACCTCATGAAGAAGGAACTAGCAAGCCCATTTCACAGCTATAGAAACTGGAATTCAAAGAAACGAAAAGATTTGTCCCATTTCACACATCCTGTAAGTGGTACTGTCAAAGAAAAATCTCACATCTTGATATGCAAACCTTGTATTTTGTATCCCAAGTTGCTATTTTATTATTTTGAGACTGAAACCATCATTTTCTCTTTCTAAAAAAGTACTTTGGTTTCTGAAAATAGGGATTCTAGGGTGCTGATCCTAATGACTTGTTTGAAAGTAGAAGCCAATTAGACAGGAAACCAAACAGAGGTGGAGACAGGCTTAAAGGTGAGGGGAAGCAAGGCATTCATCTGGGTGTTGGGCCGATTCTCTGAGTCATTCAGAGGGATCATGAAGCAGAGTGAAACATAGCATGGTTCCATTTCACTGTTAGTGGATTTTAACTCACTTATAATTCAGCAGTAAATGGAAGCATCTATGGTTCTTTGAAGATCTAACGTCTCATTATTTCTCTGAAATATCATTGAGTGACTGTTTTAATCAATGTTGGCATGGATACAAGTCTAGTAAAATGCAGGGCATCCAAATCTAATTTACATTTTTCCCCAATTACCATTTAACTCATCTGATATTTGGCACATGGCAAACTTGTCCACATTCCAGATATGAGATCTCTGATACTTTTTATCTTACAAATAACACTCTGTGTTATTTTTCTTAATTGAAAAATAATATATGTGCATTTAATGACTTTTGAAACACAGGGAAATTTGTAATAAATAAAATAACGATTGCTGTGCCACAGCCTAGATACAAAGAAAATCAGTGTATGGTGGATGATTTGTGTCACTATGCATATGCTCATATTTTAAGTAAAATTGAACTTCTATTATCTATAGTACTAAGTTTTAAACTGATTTATAAAAATTAATAATATAATGTGAATAGTTTAATACTCTTCTAAAATTTATTTTAAAATCTGCCTATTTAGTTCCATAATTTTAAAAACAAATATTTCACTATTGGATTTTAGATTTTCCAACTTTTCATCTTTTATAATCATATTTTAATATATCACTGAATGTAAACTTTCTCCATGTTTTTGAGGAATGCTTTTGGCTACAAGTTCAGAAAAGCTTACTCACAGTGTCTACAGTGGGAGAGCTGTTTTTCCAATGTAGTAAGACATAAGAGAGTGTAAAACCAAGGCCTGTGTACTGTCTGAATAATGCTTAAAAGTGTAGGCAGTTCCTATCCTTTTCCTCTCCTAGCCTGAGTATTTGCCTTCTTATTTATACCATTGGAAAATATTACTGCAATATGACTACCATAGCTCCAGGCACCACATCCATACCCATGGCAGGAAGAAATAAGGAGCCATATTACAGAAAATTGCCGCTGGTAGTCTGTGACATGTGTCCACTTTAGATGTAAACAAGTCTCAGGAAATCTCCTCTAACCTCTGTATAGGGTGTGATCAGAGCAGAAAGGAGCTGAAAGTAGGCATTAAGTTGGCAACTAACAGTGTCTGCCATGTCGCTAACATAAAACAAAAAGTTCCCCCCTAGTAAAAGTTCTACAAGAGACAGTTTTAGAGCTATGCTTTTCTCTGGTATAAAATTAATGTATGTTCACTGTAGAGTTAAGCAAAAACAGAAGAAAAATATACCTAGATTTTTTAGCCTTTATTTCATAATAGCTCAGGCAGCTCTATATAGAGGCAGAATTAGGGAGTGCTGTAGTAGACACAATTACTAGTCCTAAAATCTCTAAATAAATACCTAACAGACAAGTGTACTGAGGTTCTGTTCAACAAATTCCTTTTAAGCTTGAGTCTAATAAACTAGGCCTACACATTAAATCCACTGATTGTTAATAAGGATTGGCATTAAAATGCATAAACATATATTATGCTGTTTAATAATATAATTGTATATAAAATGCTGCAATAATGCAGAGAAGAAGTAATTCTTTGGGGGGAAATCAAGAAAATCTTACAAAAGATTCTAGAATAGGAACTTAAGATTCATTTATAATTTTATTTGTGGACAAGGGAAGATCACAGAGATGGAAATAAGTGTTTGAGATTCAGAAAACTCCGTGTAAGAAAGTATACAGGAGTAAAACCAAAGAACACATGGTAGAAATGTCAAGGAAATGGGATTAATGGACTGCAAAGCTTGAGAGGTGGAGGTTCATGGGAGTGGGGTGATGGGAAGGTGGATGTAAAGCAGGGCTCTGTTGGCCTCTCTGCCCTGGTGCTCACGAGGAGTCTTAAGACCACTCAGCCGAAGCAGAAGGGGCCTTGCTCACAAAGGTCACTTCTCTGCACTATATCTTACAGATACACAGATGAAAAGCCTGAAAACAGCCAGCCAGTTAAACAGACAATTGCAATAATCTGTGAGAACGCACCCAGAGGCATCACAGTTCTGACTTGCTGTCATGGGAACGTCTTTGTCATGGGAATTCCAAGGTGGAGCATCTACATCCTTCTGCTTGTTCCAGTAACTGTAGTGTTTACGTTCTTCTCACTCGATCTAGGAGCTCTAGGTACGGTATAGCACAGGAATCCCAAGAATGTGTGTTTAAAACCCTATCACTGGGTGTCAGCATTCTGAATTCCGGAGTATCAGTCTCAGTCATGAGATAGGAACTGATCAGGTCCCTCTTGCCCTCCCCTTCCCTTTCCTGGTTTTAAAGAAATAGTTCCTTCCTTCCTTCCTTCCTTCCTTCCTTCCTTCCTTCCTTCCTTCCCTCCCTCACAGTATTTACTGCTGTCACAAGATAAGGTGTTTCTCCATCTTCATTTCAAACCTGGGTCTTAAAATCTTTCTGTACCCTCTGTTGGCCAACCATATGCGAGTCAGGAAAAAACAACATATAATTTTGTATTACAATTCAAGACATTCAACAGCAATAGAAGGGAACTCATTTGGTTTAATAAAGCCTGAGAGTAATGAAAAAAGAAACTGTGAAAGTCTAATTGCCCTACACATGTCTGACTCTAGAGAGCAGTATTTCCTTCACCTCTCTTCTCTACTTGCATACAAATTTTCTTTGATATCAAGGGAAAAATCTAAAGAGACAGAAAGACTTCTTATGCTAAAAACAAACAAACAAAAAACCAAATAAAAACAACAAAACAAAATAACCAGTAAGGGAGTAGACATCTATTAGTAGAAAAAAATGAGAAGCAAAAGGTATAGGAGTCATGGGAATGGCAAAGGAGGAATCAAAAAAGGAGGGCCCCAGAGAAAGGTAGAAGTTAAGGCCAATCCAGTTGAAGTTGTAAGTTATACATGCCCTCTTGGGGAGCTAGAGGTGTGAAGTGAATAGAACAGAAAGCCATTTCCAATTCCCTAGTACTTCTTAGACTATGTGGACATGGGTTATAACAGGCAGAATAGCCCAAAGAAACTAAGGCCCACAGGGCTGCTAGCTTCATATGCTCAGGGACTGAATCCCTTACTTGCCACTTGAATCAAACCTTGTAGAAATAAACTGTGGGCCAAATTTGGCCTGCAGCAGTAGTTTTGAGGGCCATGGTTTAGAATGCTGCTGGACACATGCAAATGATTCATATATATTAGTTGTCATGATGATGATGTTATTGGTATTATTAACTACATGTAAAAGATTCATATATATAGCTATTATTATATTATTCGTACCATTAAATGATCAGCGTATTCTTCTAGATTCTTTTTTTGTTTGATAATTACCCAAGAGTAAAATTTCCAAGTTGATGTCCTATCCCATTCTTCTAAAGGTCATAACAAAGAGGTTATGTCATATTAGAATGCCAATAAAATTTATTTTTTAGAAACAAATCCTGATTAAAATACACACACACACACACACACACACACCCCAGTAGATTAGATTGTGTGAAGTTCTCATCTGGCATAAATTTACTATCTCAAGTGTTTATAACACTTTTCTTGGACAATTCAAGTTTTAAGATTGATTTGTAGGACTCAGGTTTTGCGGGTCGTGCACACAGGTGAGAGCCATTGTTTAACAAGACTGGTCCTCCTGGGCACCATCCTTGCTGGGGTCACTGTTACTTTTATCCAGAAAATTCCCACCTCTCAAAGCGACACCCAGGTCCCAGGAGCTGGTTCTGCTGGCTTCTGGGCATCTCTCCCACAGGTCCATCCACTCGGTACTGCTCAGGCTAGGGCAGCAGCTCCAAGCGTATGACTGGGACTTCTTGTCTTGGGGAGTTACTGCTGAAAAATGCTTGAAAACACACATTTGGTGTGGATGGTAGGTTAGCCTGAAGCATCTTGGTCTATTTGAAAGCTTGAATATCCTGGGGATGTTACCTGTCGTCCTTGAAGGAGAAAACTATTTCCATGGTTACAGTGTCTAAGCCAAAACTAAATGGAATGAGTAATACTAGAATGGCATTAATCTATACAGGAAGTGAGGTTCAGAAAGTTTGAAAGGTTTTCCCCAGGTGACATTGGGGCAAAGTGGCAGAAACTGAACTAGTTTGCAAGTATTCTGACTATCACGATGAGGCTCTTTAGATTTGCATTTACTTAACCAGCATGTTCCATTTTACAATCACTCCAAATAAGTGAAATTGTGTTTTACACTGGGATACTAAATGGCCTGCAAATAGACTTTGCAAAATTATATTTGGGTTCAAACACATTTAGATAAATATTGGGGAAATCTCTGCAGATTGGTGCAAAATGAACAAATCATTTTCATTTAAACTTGGATGTTTTCCACAATAGGACACATTTTTATCAGGCCACCAAGTTCTTTGTGCCACAGGCCTTTCAAGAATTGGTTTTCTGGAAAGGGAATCAACAAATATGATCATCATAATTCTGCCTTCATGCAGTTTAAAATTACTGAATGGGGGTCTCAGCATCAGCCAATGGCACACTCAAATTGTTTAGGCTTAGGAAGTTTAAAGACTTACTGAGTTGTGGGCAGGGTTAAGGAAACCAGAGGAAACCAGGGAGGGGTGCACCTGGGAACTGAAGCAGAGGGGAGCTGTTCTGCCTGGGGTATGCAGTGGGCGTCATGGTCTGTGTTATGGAGGGCTGCCTAACAGGACCTGTGATGCAAAGGACGCAACCACTGTGACAAACGTGGCATAGCAGAGGAGAAGGTGTGAAAGCGAATTTTCCTGCTTTCCCTAACCCTTCTCATGCCTTCCAGTGGTGGAGTTCCGCCAGAACCCAGGGTAGGAAAGCTGCCTGGGCCACGCAGTGTACGGAGTGCAGTCTCCTGGGAGACAAGGTATGGATGAGAAGAGTGGAGAATTGAGTTTTGGGGAAGGGGATTGGAAGTGAAGAGGAACCCCATGGCCACTCTAGTCATGGCATTTTCTCAGTCTAGTACTTACTATGGGCACATTAGAGACCCTCCATATAAACTTACCTTTCCAGAACTCAGGAGGCTGAGGCAGGAGGACTACTTGGTGAGTTCAAGGCCAGCCTAAACTACATAGTGAGACCCTGTCTCAGAAAACAAAAAATATATAAATAAATATAAATAAATATATATAATGAGTATACAAATATTACAAATATATATATATTTATAGTGGTGCAATGGAAATAAATGGGTTCTAGAGGCCAATGAAATATGGGCCAGCACCTCTGCCACCACATAACTGTGGGATATTGGGCTATTCCCTTGAATGGTTTGTCCTAAGTTCCATAACTGCAAGATGGAAATGACAGCACCTTCTTAGGGTCTTTGTAAAAAATAAGAGTTTCTTCTAGCACCTGGTATATGGAAAACTTTCAAATTGAGTTAATGTTCTATCTTCTCTTTATACCATTACATCCTTATTACTATAATAATTTTAAGAATTATGACCCAGCAAGCATAAAATTTAAAATTGAGCATAACTGGCAAATATTTTAACAAACTTAAAAGTGCTTTAAAAACCCTTCAAAATCATAGCAAAAGTAAAATAAGGCTGGTCTTAAAAGAGATTAAGGAACTTGACCTAAAGATTACAGTCATTTAAAATTCTACTCCCTAAAATAGCTTTTGGGTTTCTACACCAGAACATTTTGCACAATCATTTAAAAATGTTGTGAAAGTTGTCATCCCTGGTGTGACCATTTAATCACTTCCTACCTCACTCCTCTCCTGCAATTATTGTTCAAATACAGAATTATTTTCTCGCCTCCCCTTTTAAACTGTATCTCCCACACGCCTGCAGCATGAAGTTTAAACTCCTTAGAAAAAGATCCAAAGATCTTCTTAAATTACAAAGGCATACCTCCAGTCCAGCCTCCCAGAACTCAGTACACCTCAGGTCAGCATCACTAACGATTTCCACTGTGCATCACACTGTTTCATATTTCTGTTCACTGCATTTTTTTCCCATGACAATATCCCCCTTCACCACCGGATAAAACCTGACTCACCTTTCACACATTTGGCACTTGTTCATCTGGTCTTTCAAAGAAAAGAAGTCACCCTCTCCTCTCTCTTCCTACAGGGCTTTGTTATAATTCCTATGGTTGACCGATATTATGGTTAAGTCTGCACACTTGTTGTACTACAGACTCAAGACAACTCATATTCTGCGTAGGGTCTGCACATACAGTGAATACCTTTCGACTGAATGCATATGTTTAGGGAAAGAAAGAATTCATTAAGCGAGGCTCCCAAAGAAAAGTACATATAAGTAAATGTTAAATGTCTGAGGTGGAGGTGAGATGTGCTTTAATAAATGAAGACTAGAAGAATGATGCTAGTTGGTATGGCTGCCAAAGCCAGTGTTTTGGGAAGAATACGTTCACTGAAGAGTAAATAAGTAGGGTATAGTTTGTCTTTCCCAACACAGCCTTCCTGGCCACTTCAACCCTGGAAGGCAGGCCCTGCTTGGCACAGTTTTGGAACTCACAACAATCTTTAGCGATTGCTTGGCCTGACTGCCTGACCTGACTAGAGCTGTTGTTCTTAATTTGACCTTTCCCCCTTGCTGAATTCTAAGCTGAAACCACGTGTGTGTCACTGTCCTCCAGTCCTGTGCACATCTGTGAGCTTTTGTTGAATAAAACCATGAAAGAGCTTCAATTCCTCAGGCATGCTTTGACTTTGCTGGCGTAAGCAGTGGAGAGGCACACCAAGGCGGAGGCCTTCTTTGGCCATCTGCGCCTCCCCTTTCCCCGCCCTCTCCCCAAAGAGAAAGATGTTTATTAACTCATTTTCCTTTCACACCTCGTGTCTGCTTTCTGTCAGTCCTTATCAAGGTGCTGAGAAAATAGAGACTATGGCAAAGTCCTTGGCTTAATAGAGCTTACTTGTCCCTGAAGGAGACAGATAAACAATGAGTAAGCAAACACAAAATAGCATCCTTCAAGAAGTGCTCGGTGCCATGAAGAAAAGTAAAGCTCAGAGTAAGACAAAGAAGCCAGGAAGGCACCGGTGAGCAGCTGCTCTATGATCTGGGATGCACACATATTGCAAGGAAGGAGACATTCGATGATGATGAGTTACAACACCCTAAACCCTTCATGACCAGCTATGAATCTGCTCAAGAGCTCATCTAGCAGCTGCTGGGAGAGGGGCACAGATCCATGGAGCACGTTTTCTTCACAATTCTTTAGCATCCATTAGTAATAATTTCATCATTTTCATATTTATTCAATTTCTCCTCACCGATACTTAAAATGAGATTGGTCAGTGCTAACTTTCAAGTTATTTTTTCCCTATACACATAGAAAAGTGGGTATATATAGTTTGCTTCATCAAAGCTGTTCTCCCCCTCTAGCAATTCTCACTGTGAGGGTCATCGGCCATTTGCAGGTTTGATGGCAGGCACTGGAAAGCAGACGAGCCACCCTTGCTCTGAACATGGCATGCAAAGTGCCTTCCTCTTGCATCTACTCAATACCAGAAACATTTATTGGATACTCATTAGGGGCTACAATCCCTGGTGGCATACAGTGGTGAACAAAACATTCAAATTTCCAGCCCCTCACAGAGGTAATGCTAATTCTATTAGTCAGCCTTCTCCTTGCTGAGACACAATGCCCAGCATCCACGAGGTAAAAGCAGAGAGGTGTAATTCACTCCTGATTTGAGCTCATCACTGGCTTTAAGGCACTGACATCACGGCAGAAGGATGTGATGCAGAAAAGCTTCTTAGGTCATGGCATCAAGAAACAGAGCAGGGGAAGAGCTTCAGAGAAGAATGGGCAAGGGACCAGATACAGACCTACAGGCCGTGGCTCCCTACACATATTTCTCATATATAAGCAATATTTAACCTTGTGTGTCTGACTTATTCACTTAGCATTATGTTCTCAAGTTGGATCTTTTTGTTTACAAATGCCTCAAGTTTATCTTTCTTTGTGGCAGAGTAGTACTCCACTGTGTATAAATATCACATTTAATATATATGCTAATTTATTTCATTTGTACTACTAGTTTCTCTTAGTTCATTGCAAAGAAACTTCTGTGCTATTACGTATTTGTTTCTTGTATGTAACACAGTAGTTTTGGTCTACCATTTGTACTCTGAGTAAGATTTTGGCCATTCTTTTAAGATTATGGCACATAGTACATTAACTAGTGTTATTCTCTAGTTATTTTTACAAAATTTTGTTTTACTGTTTTCATAGAAGTAAGAAGAGTGTTTTTCAAATATTTTCTTTATTACTGTCCACCTGTATTAACATTAAATAAAAAGCCAGCTTATTGTCGGTGAAACATCCTCTGAGTGTCAATATGTTGGTATCAAATGAGTGGATTCACAATGAGTGGGAGTGTGGCTCTCACACTCACGTTGCTCCCATGACACCCAGGACTCTCACATAGCAGGCATTTTGTGCAATGATTTATATGTACGAAAGGTATGGCAAAGGGGCATTTGCTTGCCAGTTATGAAGCTGTACCACAGTTAGGCAGTTACCACCTCGCTTATTATGGCAACAGATAAGGTAATTCACGTATTATGTATTTACTGACTTTTCCATAAAGATAAAATTAAAGTTATAGGGCCGGGGATTTAGCTCAGTGGATCTGGCGCCTGCCTCGCAGTGCAAGGACCTGAGTTCGATCCCCGGTACCAAAAAACAAAAAAAAAAGATTATGTTCTATTTAGCTACAACCGGCCACATGTATAAGCATTTACACTTTGCTCTGTGCATTTACTTACTAAGCTGACTAAGAACTTGTAAGGCCGCTAAGATGTGGTCATTAAGAGCATATAGCCCTGACTGTTTGTCACTTATTTGACTAAGCATGGCATCAGTGCACTGATGACCCAGCACAAAGCTTGAAGTCATTCATAACTTTCCTGCGAGAAGACCTTGAAGGTCACGTTTCAATCATTTCACCAAGCAGTGAGTCTGAGCAACCATTGTCCATGCTCATTTTATTGTGGATTCTTATTTTTCTTCATAAAAAGGAAGTTCAAAGAAAGCAGTGGTCTTCTCCTCTGCATACAAGTGATCTCTTGACTACCCCTCCCTGGTTTTCATGTTCTTACTCCTCGGTAAGTCATATCAGCTCATCGTGGATTCTCACAGTACATTATCAAGAAGGTACACTGTGGGATGTTCAATATTCAAAGCTAGTAGCATGTAAACCAAGGGCTGGCCCCTGAAACTTGGTAGATTATCTTATGAGCTTTAGATAAAACAAAATTGATGGTCCGTCAATTTGAGGGGGTACTTTTGATTTCCTCGTCAATTCTGACTCCGGTGTCTGATTATTCTCTCCCTCCGGACTCTACAATTAATGCTCCCAACTGTTTTCATGGCATCATCTCTTCTGTTTTGTGCTAAATGATGCCATGTGCTGAGTACCTGACTTTTGCCTCCAGTGTCCTCCTATGTTCCTGTCACACAGGTTAGGAAGGGAACTGCAGGAGGAGTCAAGAAGCCCATAGGTTAATGATCTACTCTATTAACAGAGGCTTTCAGGAATAAACCTAAACATATGCAAAGTCTGCTACATAATAGATTCACTTTACTTACTACTCCTTGCTACCATCAATCCTTGTGAATTACAAAAAAAAATCTCCTGTGTTGATCTGGGCCACCTATTAATTTATTTTCATGGCTTAACACTACTAACATTAAACTGGGAGCCTCAGGAAGGTCCAACATAAAGGACTTCACTTGAATCAGAGCATTTCAGGAAAACTTTCTACACTGATAAGAATGCTCTCTAATCTGCACTGTCCAGTGGAGTATTGACTAGCCACATATAGCTCTCGGATCACTTTAAATATGGCTAGTACACCTGAGAAATGGAATTATTGTTTTTATTTAATGTTAATTATTTTTAAATTAAATATAAATAGTTAATGGGACTTGGGTCAAATACTAGAGAGCACAGTTTAAAAGATACTATTTCACATATTGGGATGGGCTTGCAGGTACATATGTGATGTGTGACTTTCTAGTACTTCTCACTTATTGGATATTGTACCCATGGGGATTCTGTGCTAATCCTCACTACAGAGCTAC